GGGATAGAGATGGCACCCAGATAGCTGTTCAGCTTCCGGAAATTCAAAGTTTGTAGAAGAATAAAAAAAAAAATTTCAAGCAATACAACAGGCCTACTCCGGTAATTAAGTCTATTAGAATGTAAACCAACAAGAATGTGTAGTTTGCAGGGCAACAAATAGACAAAAAAAAGAAAAGCCAACAAGAATCTGGAGAGAGAAATAGTCAGCGAATTCTATAGAGGGAACAAAAAACACAGATTCTATATGGACATTCTAAATTTAAATTTAAATTCAGAATAAAATAAAATAGAATATGGACATTCTATATGAACAAAAATCATTCTTAAAATAAAATAAGAGGGAGAGAATAAATTTTAAATTTAAATTTTCAGTCAACAACAGTATTTAGCCTTTTTTTTTATATATAAAATAATAGGAGTTCCCTTCTTTTCCAAAGCAATTTGCATTGGCATTCTGAGGAGCATTTTTGTAACAAGATAATTAGTTATGTGGGCCCAACAACCATATAACTATAGTTAACCCTCGGAGTTGATTTTTATTTTTAATAATATTCTTCCACAATGGATGGCCATGATTATCCCCATTGATCCAGTGGTTGATGAATCCCTTTGGGTACAGGTACCCATTCGTGTACCATAGAACTACTCTTTCAAATCAATAAAAAAATATTTATAGTTGGATTTGGAATTGACCTGGTCGCTCAAGTGGAGGAGACCGGAAGCTGAAATAGGAAAAATTGTCTCTGAAACCGAGGCATTAATTAAAGGGTTCGAACCGGCGGCGTCAAAATTGGAAAGCCGCCGTGAGTGGCAGTGACCTCACCGACCTGACCTCCACCATAAAACATAAATAATGTATTTATGACCACTGTACGGACACATATGTAATACTAGTGGTACCAGCGGGACCGGTGGATAAAATAATCCTCCATTTGCGTGCGTGAAAGGATCAGAGAAGATCTGATTATATTAATCGCAAGGATCCATTTTGCCAACTAATCAGAAGAAGAGAGATTGCTTTGGAGTTGGAGCATGATGACGGTGATCTTTCTGTGGATTGTTGGATTTGCTTTATATGTTGCTTGGCTTAGTAGAGTAAAGAACAAATCTGAGGGGATCCTATAGGAATAATATCTCCTAATATTATAATATGGAATCAGGAGGAGTATTGCTGTATTGGATTTTGCAGCGCAGATTTTATTTCAGAAACTAAATCCGGAATAGTGACTCGTCAGTTTTCGGGTCCCCAGGTTTTGGTTTCGAGACCGAAACCAAATTTATTTGGAACCAAAATTTTGTCGAAGGAAACAAAAATGGGAAAACGTCCAGTTGTTAGAATCTCAAGTTTAAACATTTTCAGAGTTATAAATACTCCTCATTAATGTATATTATACTAGTTTTAATAAAATTTAGGCCAACAATTTCTGCAATAATCCTTACTCTTTAAATATTACGTCTGTCTTAAAATATGAATCGTTTATATTTGGAACAAATCAATATGAATGTATAATTCATTTGTAAATGAATTTTAAATAGTATAATTTATAAATGAATTTATTATGTTTGGTATGCTTAATGTAAAATGAAAAATTCAATTTAATTCTATGAAATTATGTTTGGAGTATTCTCTTAAATGAAAATTCATTTATCTGTATTTTCTAAAATATTATTGACATAATAATTTAACAAAAACAAATAACAAACACTAATTATATTTATTATATACAATATCATAAATGGTTGTTTTTTTACTATGATATAAATAATAAATTTCATATAAATAAATATACTCACATTTCACCCTAGTTAATTAATTAATTATATAAATATAATATAAAAATTATATAAATATAATATATTAAATAATTAAATAACATCATCATATAGTTATCTTTAAATTGTATAAAATGTTCTCCGTAAAATATGGAAATGTTTAGTTTTGCAGAATGCGTTTGAAAATTCACTTTTTTTTTTTTTTTGTGAAATTTTAGCTGTTTTTTTTTTTTTTTTTGTGAAATTTAGTGTAGTTATATTCAATTTCATAGATTTGATTTCTTAGAATTGAAATTTACATTTTTTTTTTTCCATTCCATATGTGAAAAATATGAATTTCTAAATGAATTCCATAAAATTTTGTAGAATTTATTTATTCCAATCAAAAGGTTAAGGTTTTTGCACAAAAATTAAGAAAGTAATTAATTCTCTTAGATTATAACAAACTAAAAATAATTTAATCAAATTATCATTAACTACCTTCGTTCCATAATACTTATCATATTTGAGAAAATAATTTATTCCAAAATACTTGTTACATTTATAGTTTTAAGGAGTAATAAATATTTTTTTTTATGTTTATCATTTATATATGACCAATAATTATTACTTTAATTTAATGATTTTCTTAGAGAATTAATATTAATTAAGGCTAATATTGTTAATTTACTTAATAATTTATTATAAATTATACAAATTTAATGATTTTTTATTAAGAAACGTAAAATTCTAAAATTGAAAATCATTACGTAACAAAAGGTAACAGCTCAGTATTTGAATCTCTTGCAGTAATTCATTGTCATTTGAATCTTTTGTAATTGACTTTTGTTTGAGTTTTCTTTTTTGTTTCCTTAAGAAGGAGACGGTTGTTTGAGTTACTACCACTTTCTCGTCCTTCTTTTTTCTTTATTTACTTGTTTACATTTATGCTGTGTTTAATTTTGGACATTGAATTTGAGGTAGTAATCAGACGGTAATTAAAATCCATTTATCCAACTATTCTATTCTGTTCTATTAATATAACGTCTGGTATACAGTATATCATAATTATAAATATAATAATTACTTAATAAGTAATTTGTGAGATAATTAATTAATTAATAATTCATCTGTGAGATTAATTAATCAACCGGTGGCTCATTTAAGTTTGAAGAGCATCTGAAACGTGAAAACGATTAGACGTAGAACTATGGTGGAGGTTCGCAACAAACACAAGGTGGAAATATATTTACTAGTATTTACTATTTTTAGAGAAAATTTAATTTCATATTACATTTCTCATTTATAAACTATTAATAATTAATTTAAATCATATTAATAAATACTATTATCTTGTGTTGTTATAAAATAAGTATATATAATACAGTTAAATAATTGCCTTAAGATATCATTTTCATAGCGTATATATTTTATAACAAATATAGAGATTCTTGTAAATCATTATAAAAAATTTCAAAAATATATATTAAAGTGAAATAAATTTAAATGAACGTTGTATATTACATTAAATTTATTAAATTCTGAAAAATATTTTTCGCTTTTAAATATGAGAAGTTATTTTGCTTTGAAATAACTCAAATTTCCTTTTAATTGAGAAAATATTTTCGGTTGTTTGCTCAATCACTTTAAAAGTTATATAATTTATAAAATATTCTCGAGATAAATCATTTTTAAAAAATATGAAAAGGAATTACAAAGTTTTATCACGATTCAAGCCATCAATTAAAAAAACAAAAACAAGCTGGACGCATTTTCACGTAACCCGAACAGTAAAAAGCTGCAAATCAAAGTCTAAAGGCGGCATGGTCACCGGTTTGGCTTGAATCAAAATCAAACCGAAATTGGAACCGTACTGTAGAAGAACTGAAATCAGACTAAAATCGACGGTTCAAAATTTTAAATCAAAATCGGAGGTTTAAGGGCCGGTTAAAGTTCATGTGAATGTTAAATTATGAATCGGAACCAACCCGGAACTGACGATTAACCGACAGTTTTGATTTGATTTGAATAAAAAATTTTCTATTTTTATTTTCAAAATGATAATTACGTAGCCAACTTTATACATATCTAAAAGTCTCAATAATATTACTACATGATATATTTTACTTAAGATTTTTTTTTTAAATACACTTTACTTTAAATTACTTTAAAAGTTAAAAAAAATTTAAAAGTAAAAATGGTAAAAAAAGAGAAAATTATTTAGTCTAAACTTATATTATTTTTAAACTTTTTTTTTACCCTTTTAAATTGTTTGCTAAGTTTTAAAATTACATTTTTTATTAGCATTTTTCAAAATTTTCTTATAATTTATGTTCATAAAATGTTTGTTAATGTTTTCTAAATTAGATATGTTAAATAATTATTTTATTCATTAATAACTTTTATGATTATTTATTAAATGAAGGCGCTTTTATTAATTATTTTAATGAAATTAAGGGTAAAAAAAAGGACAAAATAATTTTTGTTAACTAAATTTTTGTTAACTAAATTCTTAATATGCATATTTTGTCAAACTATGTAAACAAAACGAGACGGAGGAAGTATAATATTTTATTTTAAGTTTATTCATGTTTCAAGCCTTGAGCCGAATTCGAGTCCAAAATTTTCAAGTTCATCGAATATCGAGAAATTTTATCAAGCCAAATTTCGAGTCTGACAGTTTTAAGCTCAACTTGACTTTTATTTAGTAACATTTAAACAAAATTAAGTGATAAATTTATTTGATAATTTTGTAAAATTAATTAATTTTATTTCTATATGAGTATAAGTATTCTAAAATTTATTTTTAAGCTCAACTTGACTTTTATTTAGTAACATTTAAACAAAATTAAGTGATAAATTTATTTGATAATTTTGTAAAATTAATTAATTTTATTTCTATATGAGTATAAGTATTCTAAAATTTATTTAAAATAAAATTTAATAATATTTTTTAAATTCATATTAATACGTACGAAAGAAAAATATAACATTAAAATCGATTTAAAAAAATATATATAGCCAGAAATCGTGAATAGAACTGTCGGTTCATCGGAACCGCGCTGGATCAGCCAGAACTAAAATTGATTCGAAAGTGACAATTCAAAAATCGATTCAAATTCAATATTTTAAAAAATTTAAATAGTAAGTTTCGTGAACTCAAACCAGCAGTTGAATGAACCGGCATGCCTAGGCCGAACACAGATGGCCCATGGTGTCCATGAGTCCATTAATATTACACTAAACCGTTTCAATAACTGGAGCAGCGGATCTCGTAACCAGTAAGGTTCACCACAGATCGGCAAAATCGAAAACCTCAATAGAACTCAAACTCAAAAATGGAGGAAGATAAAGCAGCTGCGTACTACGAAGAACTCACCCGCAAAGGAGAAGGCGCTGCAAGGTTCAAGCAAGGTCTCGGCTTCTCTAGCAATAACAACAACAGCGATTCTAATCCTAAAAGAGGCTCAGCTCTTCCTTCATCATCTTCTTCTTTTCTTAGCAATTTTGTCAAATCCTCAAGCCCTACGCAGACCTCAAAATTCGAAAAACAAGCGCAGCTTGAAGCTATTCAAAACAAGCTCAAGAAAAGACCTAAGCATGAGCCATCATCTACGGTTTCAGAGCGAAGCGACAGAGACTCAAACCATAGGCATCGTTCTAGGAGTAGGGAAAGGGAAAGAGACAGAGACAGAGACAGAGACAGGGACAGGGACAGGCATCGCAGGAGGAGGAGCAGAAGTAGAAGCAAAGAGAGATATAGAGATAGGAGAAGGAGAAGTAGAAGCAGGAGTAGGAGTCGGAGCGTGTCCCCACGTCGAGACCGGAGATCGGACAGAAGAAATCGGAGTCGGAGCTTATCGCCTCGAGGCCGGAGGAGGTCAGAGAAGGGCAGGAACGTTGATGTGGAGCGGGAGAGAGCTAAAAAGCAGAAGAATGTAGGCCTTGATTACTCCAAGTTGATTCAAGGATATGAAAAAATGGTAAGCTCTTCTTCTTCTTCTTCTTCTTTATTTTTTTGCTGTGTTTGATTTTGGAAATTGAATTTGAGGCAGTAATCAGATGGTAATTGGTAAACAGTGTTGCATATCATGGGAGAGTGACATTTTAACATTTAAAAATATCAGAAAATAAGATTAGCAATGTTGTTTCTAACGTAACAAAAAGAACTGAATGTTGTATTCAAGTGCATTATATTCTTATTCCAATTAGTCTATGGCAAGAGAGTGCAAAAAGTAATTAACTAATAATCTCTTTCTCTTTGTTGTTGCTATTAACTTGCGAAGCACTGAAAAACTGCGATTATTTGATGAGCAGACACCTGCTGAAAGAGTCAAGGCCAAGATGAAACTTCAGCTTAATGAAACTGGTAAGAAACTGGCATCGTTAATATTAAGATAGTTGCAATATACCATGACAGAATTGTTATTTGAATCTATAAATGCAATGCATGATATTGATGACAAAAATTTGTAATTCAACTTCAAATCCAGCTGTACAGATTGTTGAATTACAAAAATAATTTGATAATGAGCCTTAAGGCATCATAAGTAGCATATCCAAATTAAAGAAAAGTATTATTACATTTGATACCAATAAAATATGTTTATATACTACATTGCACCATACACTTAGACTGATTTTTCTTAGGTTTAACTTTCTTCCATTTTATTTATGAAAAATGGCTTGTTGATTGGATTTCATAATATATGTGAATGTTGTTATGTTGAATTTTTGTTACAAATTTTGTGGCATCTAAAGTCAATATGCTGTAATCTACTCTTCCCCATCTTGGATTTGAAGCGTGAGAACCTTTTAGGACTCATGGTTCATTACCAAACAAATTGTTAGTTGAAAAGTTTTATGCAGTGACTGTGGACCTCTATAATCAATTGTTAAATGTGAAGGTGATAATAATCTGTTGGCAATATTTTAAAACATAGTTGGGCTAGTTATTTATTTATATTTTAGAAAAAAGATGTAAATCCTCTAATTGTGTTATATCTGCCTGCAGCTCTGTCATTGGTCAATTTTGGTCAAGAGTATTAAATTTATGTGTTTCTTTACATACTTTTGGTTTTGCGCATGGCTGTGTTGACTGTTCAGAAAAGCCAATACAAGGTTAATACTGAAATGTCATTACATATCATGTTATAAATCATTATGGGAGTTCTCCTGGACCCTGATTGATGTCCCTGATAATTTTTAACATCGGTAGGTGTACGTCATAATTGAGACATATGGTGATTATTGCTTGTATTTGATGTATATTTTATGAAACAAATTCATTGCTCATGTTATTGTTCAACTATTCTGCATTTAACTTTGAGGGACAAACGGACAATAATTCAATGCATGTCATATTTTTTTGTTTCTTGAAGTTGTCAACATATTTTGATAAATGATAACCTTAGAGAAACTTCATTTTTAAATTAATCTTTGGAAAAAAAAAAATGGGACACCTGTGAATATCTAGTTGCATAACATACTGCTGTAGTTCTTGTGAATAGATGACCCACTCTTCCTCAGTTGCTTCTGCTCGAGTTGTACTGAATGAATGAAATAGTATTGAGTTTCAAATTTGACACTTCTAGGAATATATTCTATCAATAATGATGTGCTGTATTTTGTATGCAGCTGAGAAAGATACAGAGAAAGGTATGGGCCCTGGTTGGGAACGATTTGAGTTCAACAAGGATGCACCGCTTGATGATGAAGAAATTGAAGGTTAGACATAACTCATCCACATTGCGTTTCTTGTCCTATTCTACCAAGTAACATATTGATTTTGTTAATCTCTATTTGCATAGTTCTACCATTGGTCAATGAATTAAAAAATGTGAATTCGGAAGTGTGCGCTTGATATCCAACCATATATTATGTTCATGTTGCCTCTATAGTCTATCCTGTGTTCTCGTAGTTCTTTATTCACTTGTTAGAAGAACCTACGACTAAAATCACATCTCTTTATATATACTTATCTTTCAATTGCTACTGAAGAAACATGACAGAAAGGGGTTTATATGCATTACATAATGAAGCTCTCAATATCCAACAACTTCACCTACTTTAAATCCCTCAACCATTTCTCTTACCTCAATTAAAACAGAATACAATTGACTTATAAATCATTAAATAATCATGCACCAGAGTCTGCCGTATTCTAGCCACGCCTGAAAGATGTATTTCTCTTTTCAATTTTTGTACATGTTCTATACGCCCCGTAATACTATTTACAATTTGATATATCCACATCTGTGAACATGGAGCTAGTGTGCAACAAAGGGTTAAAGTTGTGTCAGAGAAATGACTGACATGATAATTTGTTAGACTGATACAAATATCATTAAGTAATATTTAGTATCTGTAATTAAATATAGTGTACTTTTGGGTGCTGGAATTTGTTGCATTGAGTAGAAATTGGCATTTTGACCAAATAGTTATTATGCAAATTAGAGTTGATAGTATATCTTTGTTGTTGCAGCTGCAGAAGATGATGCATCGCTTGTCAAACACATTGGGCAGAGCTTCAGATTTTCTGCTTTGGAGGTACATGCTTTGTCTATGCTGCATTGCTGCTATTGCTCTTTTAATTTTGGTTTCATTCACTGATCATAAATATGTTTTATAGCCTCTAATGTAATTTATACATCATGCATATATGAAGGCGAGAAGGGAAGAGGCAATTAAAGCTGCTCATGATAAGGCCATGTTTGGAGCACCAGCACTTCCAGAACCCACACTTTCAGACAATGAACCTGAGGTAGACAATGGGCAAAAGGATAGCCATAAAACTGAAGTTGCAGCAGGCCTTTTAAGTGAGAAGGTAAGTGGTTTTGTGAGAAAGAGGGAGGGAAAGAGAGAAAGTGTGTTTTAAGAAATTCTTTGTATTTTTTCAGGTTCTTGCAAAGCAAAAAGTTTCATGGCGTGACCGTGCACGTAAAGCATAATTAGATCAAGCATAATTAGATCGAGAAGATGACAGTGTGACTGCTTATAATTGATCAAGAAGCTGATGACTGATGGAGAACCTGAATTCGCATCGGCTGCTGCAAGTAAGATTTTGATACAAGTTTTGACCAAGAAAGGCACAACCTCTAAAAACTCCGTTGGACCAACCATTTCTGTACTGCTCTTTGCAATATCCGTGAAATGCTGTGAAGGGAGAATGATGAAATTGCAGTGAAACTCCAGTGAGGTTTTGGGTTATATGGTTTGGAACACAGGATAAAAGTTTCTCACATATATGTGCTGAAAGGAGAAACAGTTTCTCCAACTCTTGTAGAATCATGTTATTGTTTACTGGTTCGAGTTTTCTTCAAAACTTAATTATGTATATATGATAACGTTGTGTTGTTTTTTTCCTGTGACTTCTTACTTTAGGCACAAATTAAATGTCACCCTCATTTCAGAGGTACACTGATCCAAATCGATGATGTAATTTTCCAACTGACTTGTTATCATGGAGATGTAATTGCTTGTTAAAAAGAAAAAAAAAAAAAAGGAAAAAAAAAAAAATAATTTCCACTGACTTGTTATCATGGAGATGTTAATGCTTGTTAAAAGAAAAAAAAAAAAAAGGAAAACAAAAAAATTTGGAATCATATTTTGGAGAGGGTTAGTGGGAAAAGAAAATAATACCCTTGGTGACTGAGGTAAAGAGTATACCGAATAGTAAAAAAAAAAAAAAAAAAAAAGGAAAAAAAAAAAATATTGGAATCAGTATTTTGGAGAGGGTTAGTGGGAAAGAAAATAATACCCTTGGTGACTGAGGTAAAGAGATACGAATTTTAGTTCAGCATATTCTGAAATACTAATATTAAAAATTAGATGAAATACAGTATAAAGACAATAATGCCATGTTTATAGGGCTTTGCAAAATACGACTATTGGACGACGTGTCGTGATTTTATTGGACAAGTAGTCATGCTCTACCAAAACAGCCCAATCAGCTTCTATCATTTTCCCATTTTAAAATAAGAAACAATTAAAAAAATAAAAAAAAGCACAAACCCCAAGTCAAGATAAAGTCTCCTTTGTTTTTACTCGTTTCAATTTCTCATTTCTTCCTCTTTCCGTCTTTCCCTTGCAGAGAAAAGCTCAAAATCTTCTTTCGTCTTTCCTCCGATACGTCCTGTTGGTGACTTCAAATGGCGGGCAGTCGATGGCTTAGGCCTGAGGTGAGTTCAGATCCTTCTACTGTTGGCCAGATCGGTTCATTTCCGCTCGTTATTTATTCTTGTTTGACTCTGTTTGTTGTATTTGTAGGGTATAGAACTATAGATTTTCAGAGATAGACTATACATAGGTCTTAGTAGTACTGATTTATTTTTGATGTATAGGTCTATCCTCTTTTTGCGGCCGTCGGAGTTGCCGTCGGGATCTGCGGGTTCCAGCTGGTCCGCAACATCTGCATCAACCCTGAAGTCAGGTCTCTATATATAAATCCGTATATACTAGTATATGTAGATATTTGCTCATGCATGTATGCTTATTTCTTTCGATTTCAGCTTTTGATTCCTTTTTTACGATAATTTTGGGATGATGATGATGTGTGTTATGGATAATAAAATCAAAAGCTTGATGCTATAAGTTGTTAGGGAGGGCAGTCTACTGATATTTCATTAATCTATATGCAATATATTTATTTATTTATTTTTATCAAGGCTTTAATTGTTGTCTCTTATTTATGGAATCCGACCAATTGAACTAAATGAAGTTTGATGTTTATTTTGATTATGGAAGTTCATTTGGGACATTGTGAGGGGTAGTCGAAATAGATTATATATCTGTTGGATTTCTTCTGTTTTTGTTCTTTTTTATGATTACAAGGAAACTAGCACGTTGTTTAGCATCCGAGGATAGCAGTACTACCAAATTAATTTTTTGGATTGAATTGTGATTCTCGTATAAGTCAGAAGTTCAAATTTTCTGGATTGTATTGTGATTCTAGCATCAGTCGGAAGTTCAAAAGTTCCATTTTTAACAAAAGTAAATTGTTTGAACGACTTTATTTACATTTTTGTTTTGGATTCATTTTGAAACAGGGTTAGCAAGCAGACCAGGGCTGCCGGAGTTTTGGACAACTTTGAGGAGGGAGAAAAATACTCTCAACATTTTCTACGGAAATATGTTCGCAACAGGGCCCCTGAAATAATGCCATCCCTCAACAGCTTCTTCACAGACCCCAAATGAAAAGTGATGACAGGCGCTTGATGTTCTAAACTATAAAGAAAATTTGAGATACAGTTCATTGTGGCTGTTTTTGTGACAGAAGTTCGTGTAACATCTTGGGTTGAACGAGTGTTTTTGAACTGAAAATAAACTCTGGATGGATTTATGATAAGCTCAAGCTTTGTCGAACCTTGAATTAATTGAGACAGCATCATTGAATCCTTTTTTCTTTTTATATGTTTCGATGTTGTATGAAAGCTGCAACATTTGTTAATATTGAAGTGCAATGTTTAATTAAGTTTGAACAGTTGAAGCTGTTTATAAGACCTCTTATTGCCAGAAGTTAAGAAAACAATTCAAATGCAATTCTCATTCAAGTTGCGTTATGATTAAGCTGATCGACATCTAACGTTCTGGCATGGAACATTGAGTATTACAGGAAGATTTCACCAATCATTATACAAATTTTAACTGAGCATGTAACTATATGTTTCAGAAGAAGGAAGAAAAAATTATATAGATTGAAAAAGAACTTACATATCTCTCACAAAATTAGAGCTAGAAAACCTCAAAATTGCATGAATTCTCTCTTGCAGGTAGTCATCCCTCGAAGTGGACAAATGATCTAAATGCGTTGCACTCTTCACTTCCATTAACATCTGGCAAAACCCCTCGCCTAAGCCTGCTGTAGTGTTCTTTCTTTCCACCAGCTTACTGTGGAAAGGAATGAGATTCCCCAACTCATCGCGCTTCACTACCCAATACTTACCAGTGGCTTCAGGGATGACAATAAGATAAAACAAAGTCTCGCACATCATTTGAGAAAATTAAATGCCAAACTCAGCTTGAAATTCCAACTAACACAATTATACAACAGATGTTAAATAATCTCTTTCGGCCTGGCTGATATCTGACCTGCCATTGACCCTCAAGCTTCAGCACCATTACCTTAAGGAAGATGCTTCAGACCAAAACTATCAATTGGAACAATTTAGTGTAGAGCAGTGTGTCAAGATTAATGTCCAAAGTATACCAATAGCTCTGCATCATTCTAGTCCAGAGATATACTTAGGTATCATAATTGAGCAAATTGCAGTAATTTCATTCTAGTTGATTTCAATAAGCATGGAACTGAGGAAAGGGAGGCATACTTTATAAGGTTGGTCAGGGATGAAAATGTTCAACATCCATTAAAGGGAAACTGGATTCTGCTGTTCTCATTCCTCGAAGCATATTCTTTGCCGTTTCCTTCTCCTGGAACCATGGACAAAGAAATAATAAAGCATAACCTACTTTATTTTTGAAACTTGTAAACTTGATTATCAATTTTCTTAATTAAAACACACAAGTTAAATAGATCATAGAACTCACTGGGCCAGTGTAATCCAGAAGACGGGTACAATACACCTCTGCTTCTTCAAATCTCTTCTGCTCTCTGCAGTGTTGGGCAAGGAACAGCAGAGCTTCAACCATATTTGGTCCTTCTCTCTCTTCAGCTTCCATCCTCTCTAAGTCCTTGTTGTAGTAAAATGCTGCTTCTTCAGCACGGCCAAGCTCAGCATGGAGCTTTGCTAACTGGTGTAGGGCTATTGCTTCCCTGTCATTACTATTTGCAGCTCTTCTGTAACACTTGATTGCCTCCTCGAGCATGTGAAGCTGATCAGTTTCATAACACTGAGCCATGGCAATCCACAGCCGAGAATCATTTGGTTGCAAGAATACAGACTTCTTAAAGTAGTGAAGAGCGTAGAAGGGCATGCCCATCATCTCATATGCTTGTCCCAGTCCATACCAAGCTCGATAATCACGTGGATTTATATCCACAGCTCGTCGATATGCATCAATAGCAGCCGGAGTATTTTTCATCTCAACATACTCATGACCCATAAGGGTCCAGGCAGATAAATAATTTTTGTTCAACTTGAGTGCTCTCCTAAAGTACATTACAGATTTTTCATGCTGCCCCTTTAAACTGTAATAATTTCCAATGATACAACAGGATTCAGGTCTATATTTATCCGTCATAAATACCCTGTGGGCAAGGTAACTGAGAGCAGAGAAACACTCCTTTGCATAGAGCACATTGGAATACATATCCATGTCTTCTACTCGATAGGGATCATTCCTCAGTAGCTCTTCAAATATTACTTCAACTTGTTCAAATTCCCTTAAACTGTACTGGGCTTTAGCAATTTGAGCCTGTATGTAATTACTGAAACTGAAAGTGGTTTGTAGAGATTCATATTTTCCCAGGGATTCACTGTGCATCCGCAGCTCTTGGTAAGCACTGGCAAGAAAGAAATCTTTCATCCAATGATTACTGAGGGTAAGGTTGTTTAAGATCTCGATTGTAGTGCACAAGGACTGCAGCTCGGACCAGGCACTCCAATTCCAAGGGTAGCTATTCACAGATTCAACAAGAACTGTTCGAGCAAGGTTCTGATTGCCTTTCTCTTTAAGTACAAGACCATATAAGTACAAACCAAAGGGGTCAATCATGCCATTCTTGTGGAGTGTTGACAATTCTCTCTCCAGAGATACTAGTTCACGATTTAGAGCATCACTCTTTCCTAAGGGTCCCTCAAGTTCAATCATCTCTTCTTCTTTCCGCTTTTCTCCAGCCTTTAAACCAAATAGAAGGGTAAGATAAAAGTACAGAATTTTACTAGTATAACATCAGAGAAGCTTGATTTAGGATTGATATCAGGCAAATTGGTTACACCAGATTAAATGCTCATCAAACGTGCATGATGTTTTAGAAGTAAATCATGTTGTCAATGCAAGACTATGGATGCAACTACAAGTCTACAACCAGCAACCACCAGAAGCAGAGTTCATGCAAACTCTAATTAATGATAAAGTGAAATGTAAAGCATTCATAAGAGATTTTTTCTCCCCAGCCTTCTCCTTTTGGAAAGCAATTGAATGTGAAATGCAGGTTGATGATATAAATTCATCAGGTTCCCTGTATTATTTACTTTTCAAATATTTTCAGCATAAACCAGCAGAGTAAACCTGACATGAGGTGAAGAGAACAAAAGACTTAAAAGCATGTTAAACAAACAAAGCAAGAAATTTCACAGAAACACCAGCTACCAATTCCTCATATAAATGAGCACTTCTGAATTTATATTACAGGTTCAGTAGCTAGTTCTCTGTTATTTCATGTTCTACTTGATTTATGCAACATACTCTCGCAGTTAATACTTAAAAAGCAGAAGCAGATAAATCATCACCTAACTCTAAACTGTCCCCACTCCTCAATATTGATGCAATATACAGACCTTTCTTTTTTGTCCTGAAACCAGGTTCTTTAATCTAATCCTCATAAGGCCAATGCTAGCCTCTCTTCAAGTTTTTAGTTGGACTAATAACAATCCTCTCAAGTCAACATTTGCATCAGACTCCTTTAATGGCTTCTAAAAATTAAACAGAAAACAAATCAAAGCATTGACTTCCATGAGTCTATATTTAGTACCATTGCGTTCTACATTTTGCAATTTCCCCAGTGTTTACTAAAGGAATATATAGGCACTTTTTATGGACAATTTGATCCAATTAATTCACAAAAATCTTGTTGGAGAACAGCTAAAGCTACATTTTGGTCCCTAAGACATCATAACTATGTCATCATGAAAAAGAAAAAAGAAAAAAAGAATGAGCAGAATTAGATCATTGTATAAGAATGCTACAAACCAGATAAAGAGCATAACATCTCAGGAACACAGATTTCTTTCCAGTTTGATCTCGAAGCAAATTTGCGGCCCTTCTATACTCTCGGCAATCAAAGTATGACTTTGCCAGAAGGTAGAAGTCCCCATCCACCACCTCATCTTCCTCCATCACAGGTGTAGAAACATATGATACACCAGCTGCTGGAGTAGAAGTAATGTCATTGGTACGGAATCTTCTGCGAATGCTTGAGCTTCCACGCTGGAACCTAGTGTTTGAAGGAGTGAACTTTGCAGGGTCCTGCTCGATTCCCACCAGCTGCTCTCCTGCCCTGAACACCACTAATGATAAAATTAAAGTAACGCATTGCTAATGATAAAACACTGAAATGAGTTCCAGCAGAAATTTGAAAATCTTATTTATTTATATGAAACGGTGGTATACTGTTTTCAGAACTGATTTGTTGCAAATAACAATCCAAAGTTTACTAAATTGAGTTTGAGGAAATGCCTACTATAATTAAGTTACTATTTAACATAATTATAAATAAAGATAAATGCGAACATTTCCAAAATTTCGTATTTTTCTTTTTCTGAACTTATTCATTACCCAAATGCACATCAACTAATGAGGGAAAGAGATTATAAAAAAGAATAAAAAAGGATCAGAGTTGACAAATCAGCAATTTTATTTAGGTATTGAATAAGCAGCAACTTGGAAGTATCTTAACCAAAATGAGCACATATTTCAGTTTCTAGAGCAAGACAAAAAGTTCAAACAGAAATTTATTAGCAGATACAGAAAGAAACAGAATGACTCGTGTTTAGGGTTCTAGAGCGGAAGAGAGTTACCATTTGGAAGCAGAGTAAAGACAACGATCGCTGAGTTGGCGAATCGCAGTTCGAAGCTCGTTTCTGCAACTTTCTCTTGCACTCATCGATCCTCCTATCTCTCTCTTCTTTTACTTGAAGCAACAACAATGGTAGCGCTCTTCTTCTTCTGCTGATTCTAAAATCAAAATGAAGTTTGGTGGTTTTATTAGGCGCCCAGGTTTTTGAAGAATAAGAGAGACAGAAACAGAGAGCGTCTCTCAATTCTTGGACTTGAGCGACGTAAAGCCCATTTCACGTAGAAAGCCCAGATGACAATTTTCTCTCTCCTTATGTTTAAGAAGTTAAAAATCCAGTCTTTCCACTCCAAAAAACAAAATGTGACCTAAAAGTTAAAATGCTTACTCATCTGCTCAAAGCTAACAACTTTCATCTCCGTCGTCTCCAGCCACCGCAACCCCACCGCAATTTCACAGCCACCCCACAATCGCAATCACCGGAAGCCAGCGGTCTGGCCTCTCTTATTCTCAATTCGTCAAACCCAGAAACTCTAGCCCGTTCCCTTCACTCTCCTACCATTCAGTGGACTCCACAGCTAGTAAACACAGTCCTTAAACGCCTATGGAACCATGGCCCAAAGGCCCTTCATTTCTTTAACCTCCTTAGCCACCACCCTTTCTATTGCCACCACGCTTCCTCCTTCGACCACGCCATTGACATTGCCGCCCGCCTCCGCGATTATAGGAACCTCTGGCGTCTCGTTTCTCGAATGCGCGCCTGCCGCGTTGGCCCCTCCCCTAAAACCTTCGCAATCATCGCCGAAAGGTATGCGGCTGCCGGGAAACCCCATAGAGCTGTAAAGCTTTTTATGTCTATGCATGAATATGGATGCTTTCAAGATCTTTCCTCGTTTAATACGATTCTTGATGTGTTATGTAAGTCTAAAAGAGTAGAAATGGCTTATAATTTGTTTAAGGTTTTAAGGGGTAGATTTAAGGCTGATTGTATTAGTTATAATATAATTGTATATGGTTGGTGCTTGATCAAAAGGACACCAAAAGCATTAGAATTATTAAAGGAGATGGTGGAGAGAAGAGTGACACCAAATTTGACTACTTACAACATAATGCTTAATGGTTATTTTAAAGCAGGTCAAGTCAATGAAGGTTGGAATTTCTTTTTGGAAATGAAGAGGAGGAAATTGGAGATTGATGTTGTTACTTACACTAGTGTGATTCATGGACTTGGTACTGTCGGTGAGATTAAGCGAGCTCAAAAGGTTTTTGATCAGATGATTAAAGAAGGGGTGCTTCCTTCTGTGGCTACTTATAATGCTTTAATTCAAGTTCTATGTAAGAAGGATAGTGTAGAGAATGCTATATTGGTTTTTGATGACATGGTGAAAAAGGGTTATGTCCCTAATTCAGTAACATATAATTTGGTGATTAGAGGATTGTGTCATGTAGGTGAAATGCAGAGGGCAATGGAATTTATGGAAAGAATGAAAGATGATGAATGCGAACCAAATGTTCAAACATACAATATTTTGATTACATACTTTTGTGATGCAGGAGAAATTGAAAAGGGGTTAGATTTGTTTCAGAAGATGAATAGTGGGAATTGCTTGCCAAATTTGGACACTTATAATGTGCTTATAAGTGCAATGTTTGTGAGGAAAAAATCGGATGATCTCTTGGTGGCAGGGAAGTTGTTGGTTGAGATGGTTGATAGAGGATTTCTACCTCAGAAACTTACTTTCAACCGTGTGCTTGATGGGCTTTTATTAACTGGTAACCAAACTTTTGCTAAAGAGATTCTGAGTTTACAGAGTAGATTTGGTCGTCTTCCACGAAAATTCAAATTATGAAGCGTTTTGGAATTCAAATTAGCTCTTAAATTATAGAATGTTCCCCCACCCTGCTCCTTCCCCCTCCCCTGGGGCTTCATGCTACCTCGCCCAGCTACAGTTTCTAAGACTGGACATTGGATATTTGAAGGTTAGTATATGCAGTTATGATTTATTTATTTATTTATATTCTGATTATATATTAGGGTGCCTTATTTTTGTGAATTCTCTTTTCAGAGAATGTTGCATCTTTATGAATTTCCGGAACCAACAAATCTTAAGTATTTGGAAATAAAGGAAGCACACCTCCTAATTTTAGTCTCCTTCTGTCAACTCCTTTTATAGAAGGATCTCCATACTTGGAGAGATTTATGTTGCAGCATCAGGTTTGTTTAATTTTTCTAAAAATAGTATTTATAGTTTTATACCATGCTATTTTGTGTTTAAGGTCTATAAAATCTTCTTCTTTTTCATTGGGTATTAGGCATCACTAATTGTGATGCAATTAAAGTATATTATCTATGAGTGTTTTTTACATTAAACGAGCTTTTAATTTTATGTGCTTATATCAAAGACTCTCTTCCTTGAATAGAATTATACGATCTTTGCTCTTATGCTTTTTTATTTCTTTATTTTTTTTTTCAATGAAACATCATTCAATCTATTGGATGGAGAATGGAACAAACCATTTTTCACATTATAGTACCTGTGCACTACTAGTCGTTCTAAGAGTAGAGTGCCTTGAGGGATTGAAAATCACTCGATGCACAAGGTCACATGTGAGGAAAATTTGAAGGTAGCTCTCCAAAGCCATTTTAATCCTTTCATTGATAATGCTAGCAACACTATCATCTAGATCAAACCAAATTTTGTCTTCATTTAAGACTAACTCCAATTAATACATTTAATTTGGAGACTTCCATCTTAAGGAATTTTCATTGAGCTTTCCTCTTTTGCTATTTCTGTTAATGGTTCATTTGCATGTAAATGTAGGAAGGACGGGAAAAGCCACAAGACATCCACCAACTTGAAATGATATTGTTACTTGCTGCTTCCCTATGCGTTAATAAAGAAAATAGGAATAAAAATTTCACTTCAATCCCTAACATCTAACTAAGCTAACTAACTAATTATTTTTAGAGTGCAAAGGAAAGCACATATTTTTTATGATCTAGATGTTAATGTTACTATTTACTAGTGTTATTACGAATGGAAGAGGGTCCAAATTCTTGAGCTGAATTTGATGAGTTGGTGAACATATTAGGAACAATTGCAAGTTATAGTTTTCTCCAAGAACTTGTGAATGCAACTAGAGCTTCTTCCGATCAGTTATTTTCAAACTTGCTTGTATCCTTGTGCATCTGTTGACAGTTGACACTCTATTTGAAATAGTGCATGGCTCTTGTGATTTGATCAGCTTAGAGAGTTTCTAATTCTGGCCCATCACTTCTACTAAAATATTTGGAAATACGATATTGTTATTACCTTGAAACAATTGAAATCTCTAACACAAGCCTCAATTCATTTAATTATTGTGGGGATGAGATCAGCTTTCTTTCTTCAGATGTTCCCTTACTCTGGGAGGTATTGATTGATAAGTTTTCACATATATGTTCCCTTACTCAGGGAGGTATTTATTGATAAGTTTTCACATATACCTTGTGTTTTCATCCAGTTTCATGCTGCCTCTCTCAGCTACTGACGTTTATTATATATGCAGTTTTGTTGGGTTTTTTTCTTGTTTTTTTTTTTTTTTTTTTTTTTTTTTTTTTTTTTTTGGAGGTATTTATTGGATAAGTTTTACATATACTTGTGTTTCATCCAGTTTTTCACTTGCTCTCTCGCTTACTTACGTTTATTATTATATGCATTGGGTTTTTTTTTTTTTTTTTTTTTTTTTTTTTTTTTTTTTTTTTTTTTTTTTTTTTCTCTTTTTCCCTTTTGATTATGTATTAAGGTACCTTATTTTGGGTCTTCTCTTCGGACAGTGTTACATCTTTATGAATTTCCTGAGCTAACAAATCTAATGCATTTGGAAATAAAGTCTCTCGTACGGTCACGTGTGCTAATCTTAGTCTCCTGTCAACTCCTTTGATAGAGGCGTCTCCATACTGGGAGAGTGTTGTGTTTTGGTTGCAGTTATGTTAAACATAACTAAAATTAATATTTATAATCTTATCCCATAGAATTTTGGGTTTAAGTTCTGCTGGTCTTCCTTCTTTTTCTTAGGGCATTAGACATTGCTATTTGTGATGCAGTTAGAAAAGTTTGAAACATATTATGTAGAGTACTTTTTTTACATCAAACAAGCTTTTAATTTAATATGTTTATATCAAAGGTTAAACATATTGGAGAATTGAACAAACCTTTTGTCAAGCAACTGCACACAAGCCCTGGTCTACAGTTACATGTGCACTCACCTGTTTTACGTGATATTGTTCAACTCTTCAATGTAGTAATTTCATCTGCATGGGCATGGTATACGATCTGCTTTGCAAGAGCTAAAAAAGCAACAATTAGGAGTCTTGCTAAGAACCGTGGACTCCACCGCCATTTGTTTTAGAAGACTTGGTATCAACAATAAAGAAAACGATGAAGCTTGAGGCTCATTTAAGAAAAGCACAGGCAGAGAGAGAGAGAGAGAGTCATGGGGAAGACGAGAAAATGAAGCAATGGTAATATATCTAAGCAACACCTTGAACAAGTTAGAGAGAGATTGGTTTTGGAAAACAAGATTGGCCAAGTTATAGAGTGGTGTTGCGGTTGGTGCGAGAGGGGAAAAAGAAAGAAGATGCGGAGTACTGCTGCTATGGCCAAAACGAAATTTTTGTTTTTCCTTTATGTGTCGTTTCGTTCTTATTTAATCCAAGTTTAATTACGGAGTTCATCGTTTTGTTCTTATTTAACTGAGTTTGGATTAAGTTAGTCCAAGTTTAGTGATGAAGGAGTTCATCTTTTCGTTTATGATAATTATTATTATTAGCATCATTCATTTAATATTATGCATTTCGAAAACATTAAGTTTAAATAATAAGCGATATCCAAAAAAAATAATAATAATAATAATTAATGTTCATCAATAACTATTGTCCCATCTCATCGGATCTTCTAATTTTGGAAAATATCATATTCACCTTATCAATAAAAAAAATATTCTAACTTAACTAAATTAACAACTATGTGAATAATAACTAAGTTTTGTAAAATTAGGATTAATTAAAATTTATTTGGAAGTTTAAGCAATATAAATAATTATATTGATTTGGATAATAACTCTTTTTTTTAAAAGGATTTGGATAATAACATTTACTAACACTTTATGACATAATAATTAATATATTGTTATAATTAATTTTAACAGTAATTTTGAAAATTTCCACGGGCGCGTTGGAGACAACCGCCATCAATTCAAATTCCCGCTAATCTATCGTATATTTCAAAGTTTTAAAGCTCCAAATCCCTCCTCCAGTACAGCACTCAATATCCCCTCTCTTTCGAAAAACTTTGCCACGCCATTAATCAATCAACCCTTCTCTGTCCCTCTCAGCTCTTTTAACGGTCTTTAGCCGCATCTATATCTCTTCGACTGCGCTTTCTTTCTCCGGCTGCTACTCTCTTCCCTCCATTTCACAACTTTTCACTCGTCTGCTTAGATCTGATTGCAAAACGATGCCGGTATTACCTAGTGAGGGGCCGGAATCCTCTTGTCGCCACCACACTTATAGCAGAAAACAGAAATCCCTTGGTCTTCTATGCACCAAGTACCAATCTTTGTCTTTCTTTACATTTCAGTTTTTTCTTTGGATTTGCTTTTGATGTTCGATTTGTTGGGTGCAGTTTCTTGAGCTTGTATGATAGAGATGGCATTGAAGTCATTGGGCTAGACGATGCTGCTCTAAAATTGGGTATTTTATCTTCATTTCTTTGATACGCTTTTTTTGTTTGTTTGTTTGTTTGTTATGTTGATGTGCCTGATTGTGGTTGGAATTGTAACTTTAGTTGTTTTTGAGACCTGCAGGCGTTGAGAGGCGGCGAATCTATGATATCGTTAATGTTTTAGAGAGTGTCGGTGTGAGTATCTTCGTAGTTGGGTTGTAAATTTAGATTTTGTGTGCGCATTTATTATTTTTCTCATCTAGGTATTTGATGACTTTTTAGGTTCTTTCAAGAAAAGCTAAGAATAAGTATACATGGAAAGGTTTTGGAGCAATCCCAAATGCTCTACGGGAATTAAAGGTCGGAAGTGAATTTCATTTTCTCCTTTTTTTTTTTTAATTTTCTTTTTCGTTTTAAATTTGTAGTTGGAATATAGAGGTTGGTTGATAAATTTTCTACGTGAAAATGGAACTGATCTGGGTCTTTTATGATATAATAGGAGGAGGGTTTGAGGGAAAATTTAAGCAGTTTTGATAAGCAGCAAAGCAGCAATTTTGAGAAAGTAAGTGAATTACCTAACCTTGTAGAGAGTTTTATTTTCTGAAAGTTGATGCAAAATACATGTTCGTCTTACTTTAGGTTTCAGATGATGACAATGATGATGAGGATGATTGGGATTCCAACCCCAACATTGGAAGCCAGAATGATAATCCAATTCCTAGTGGCATTGTCAAATCAACGGCAGCCTCAAGATTTGGTAAGTGATTTTCACAAGCTCAAGAAATTAATGTTGAGAATAATTTAATCAGACATGGTAGATGAATTACCAAAAAAAAAAAAAAAAAAAAAAAAAAAAAAAAAAAATTAAATGTTGAGAATAAATTTAATCAGACATGGTAAATGAATTACAAAAAAAAAAAAAAAAAAAAAAAAAAAAAAAACAGTTTAGCATTTTTCTCTAGCTGCACAACTAAAAAAAAAAAAAAAAAAAAAAAAAAAAAAAAAAACAGTTAGCATTTTTCTCTAGCTCACAACTATTCAGTTTAATGCGATTGTGTTTTTCTGAAAAATCTGGCTGCAAATTAAGCAACATGATGCGAGTTGTTTATCTGCTAGATTTTCATAGTGACTTAAATGACATTTTATGACCAAGCTTTATTGTTTATCCTGCAGATAATAGAAAAGAAAAGTCATTGGGACTTCTAACACAGAATTTTGTCAAGATTTTCCTGTGTTCTAAAGTAAGAACTTTATGGTATTAATCCTGTGATTTTTCTCAGAAATAATATTTCAAGTTTGTGCTTGATTAGAAATGGTTTATTTGCAGGTGAACCTAATCTCTCTTGATGAAGCTGCAAAACTATTGCTTGGGGATGTCCATAATTCGTCGATTATGAGAAGTAATTATTCTCAAATTTTCTCCTTCTGATGTGTAATAGTATTGTTTTCTGAATTCTTTGGTTAACATCCCTCCAAAACATGATTCTGCAGCAAAAGTTAGGCGGCTCTATGACATTGCAAATGTGCTTTCTTCCTTGAAACTGATTGAGAAGGTATTCCAAATGTTTATAGGAAAATTAAATGAATTCGCAAACTTTTATGTCTGAGTCACCATTCCAACTTGTTCAATCTAAAGAGTTTAAATTAAACAATGTGCAGACTCATACAGCAGAAACCAGGAAACCGGCGTTCAGGTGGTTGGGTTTGGGAGGGAAATCTGACAGTGGATTAGCTGATACTTTGGCTGAGCCCAAGAAAAGAAAATTTGGGGTTGATGTGACTAACATTTGTTTCAAAAGAACAAAAGATGATTCCTCAGCCAATTGGAGTAGATGCGATAATTTAAAAATGCACAATCAAATAAAAGTTGAGGATGTAGTGACTATTGCTGATAGAAGCAATTTGGATCAGGATTCACAGGAGGGCTCAAAGAATTACCGGTTTGGCCCTTTTGCTCCTGTTACAGTAGCCAAAGTTGGTAGCTCTGAGAATAAAATGACTCAGATTCATGATATGGAGAGCCTCGCATCTACATACCGCCCTCAGTATCACAATCAAGGTATAACATGATGCTTCATGCTTGCAATTGAAAGATTTGACTTTAAGTTTGAATATAGCACAATCTTTCCATGATCCAATTACTTAGGTTGGTCATCAGAAGTATGATATAGATGAAATAGCAACTAAACTCAGGTGTTTCTGCATTCTTGTTAATAAATGGTGTGAATTGAGTAACAATTCACGTCTTTTGCAGAGCATCATTTAAGGGTCTATTTGGCATTGTTTTTTTAACTGTTGTTGAGAAAAGTACTAACATATTTAAAATCTTGATTAGAGTTCATCATAATTTGTTTTGATCTAAATTCATCATGTTTTAATTATAAAACATTGCAAAACCAGTTTTTTTATTTATTTTAACAACAGCTAAAATGGTATGCTTTTTTAAAAATGAATCTGATTTTATTTTCTCCTCAGAATTTTGCAACAGAGTACATCAGTAGGAATTGGATTCTAATGTTACTGAGAATTTTTACAGCTTTGAAAGAACTCTTTGCTCATTACATGGAAGCATGGAAAACATGGTACACTGAAGTTGCTGGGAAGAAACCAATAGAGCAAATCTCCTGATGCTTCTCTGCATTTCCTAATGTGCTAATTTAGATAGAATGGGAGCCCTCTTAATTTTTTGATACATTAAAGCATAAAGAAGAGATGTGGCCTTATTATGCCCATCCTCCGGATATTTCATTTATTGTAGTGTTGAGATATCTACACATTTGCTCAATGTGTAGCATTTGATTGTATGAATGACTTGCAAATTTACAGTTGGCATTCAAGTGCAGAGCACATGTTTCTACTTAAGACCAAAAACACTAGACATTCAAAAATGATGTTAAAGTTTTGGTTACATTTTAGATTAACCCCTTTATAATTTCCAGGATTTGACTGGAACTTCTCATTTAATTCAAGCACAACGAAGAGTTCTTTATTACATGTGGATGCCGATTTACAAATGTGTGTAACAAAATAACTTCTATAAATATTGGATTTTCTACAAGACAACTAGATAGATCAATATGATGGCACTACAGTGAGAGATACTGAAAATGGATGTGAGATGTATAATCAGGTCCGCTATAAGATTATTTCCTCCTGAACGCTAACATTCAGCGTTTTGTTTGGGAGAACAATGCTATTCACTACCACAACTTCATCTTCAACACTCACAGCTTCACCTGGAGAAAAGAAAGCAATATCAGATTGAAGTTCTCTATTTAGAAAAGAGAAATAATGGCAAAAGAAAAGAAGGAATGTTTATCAAGAAAATACCAAGGATTGTAACCCCAAGTTTGGCATTGAAATCTCCAGCCGCCTGTGACAAGATGATTCAACTTAATAAACTGAAATGCTACCATGCATCAGAAGGAAAAGCAAGCGGGAAAAGAACAGATAGTAGAACTAGAAAATTGAAGAAACAGGAGCAGTACATTAAACTTTAGACAAACAGAAAGAGATATGAGCCAACAATGATTAGCAGACAAGAAGGGAAAAAAACTTAAAAAAAAAAAAAGAAAGAAAAAAGAAAAACTAGTTACTTTAGCCCTAACAGTAACGGAAAACTTGAGATATGAGACATCATTTGCCATTTGTAGCATGGATGTTAAGGAGCATCCTTGTGGTTTAATATTGCTAAATGTCATGAGACTAAACCAAAAGAACCTTGGGGAAGGAGTGTGTAATATATGATGGTCAACACTCGTTTGCTTAGAGGTATCACAAGAAAGCCAACTTGCCTGGACCCGGGACCATCTCCCAATGGAAGACTTCCATCCAACAATTGCATGAATAACAACTGCATTTTCCTGTGAAATTTGAAAAACATGCTGTCAAGTTTACAATGAATTTTGGTGGTCTCCACCCCAACTCCCGTATCTGTTATATATAAAATTTATTATATATAAAATTCAATTTCATTTCTTACCATGACTTCAACATCATCCAGAATGATACAATTGATAAGCCGTGCACCTGGTCCAATGCGGGCATTGGCAGAAATTGAGACATTGGGACCGATCTGTTTCACCAAATTCCATAAAAATCAATATCATAGTTGAAGTAAACATAGGAAGGGGGGAAGAAGGGAGAAGCGAGAAGAAGAAAAAGAGAAGGGGGGTGGGGGTAGGGATGGCTGGTAATTATACAACTTTTTCCACTCTTTTGCCTTTAGATTTCTTAATTTTCATAGTGGTGCAAAATAAAAACTGAACCAACACATTCTGATATTTGCAAGGTGTTCAAGGGACATACATGATTCTCATCTCCAAACATCAGTTCAAGCGGTTTTGATAAATAGATTGGTTGTAAGTAATCATGAGAATAAAACCAAATAACTACTATACTAAGTAGATTGAAACTGACCAATGACCAGCGTCCAGCAATACTTCAGTCATTGTACATCAATAAACCAGTTACCAGAAACAAGATGAAAAAGTCACCTTTGCAGTTGGATGTACTTTTGCTGATGGGTGAATATAAACATCACCAATGATGGTGGCACTCCTCGATCCATCTCCACTTGCTAAAAGATGTGGGGAGGTGTATCGAAATTGGGCGAGATACAGAGCAGAGCATTTTAGGGACATTCTGCAAGTGTTGATTTGGTAAGGTCAAATAATAACCTTAGAGGGAAAAAGCAACATATGAAATAAGATGTTACACAGTTCAGCTTTACCCAGGAGTTTTAATTTGTTCCCAGAAATCCATGGTTTCATATGTATATAGCTGCTTTTTCCCTGCAAGGGGTGACAGGATATCTTGATCCAGTCTCATAAAATCTGTAGTAAGATTCCTGTTGAAGAAATTTGTATCAGAAGAAGAGAGTCATTAGAGGGTTCTAATTTTTAAGGATAGAAACACTAATACAGGAAGTTGAAAAAAGAAGGGGAAAATATTAATAATTTTTTGGTGAATTTCTGGATCAAAAGATAGCCTTCAGGTTTGTATCTGAACCTTTCCAAGCACAATGGTAATTTATTGATGCATGAACACTATAGATTAAGCATTAAAATTTATACTAGCCCAGTCAAAATTGTACATCTCAGTTGGAAACTTGGTTTTAAAGTAAATTAACCTCCTATAAAGGACAGAAGGGACAGCGTTGAGAAGCATTAACTTTTCTTGTCACAATTAGGGTCACGATTTTGATTGCTCTAACGACATAATGCAGTTGGCAAGTTCTTGTCAATATTAACAGAATCAGCCACGCTAATGCCATAATTTGTATATTCCATGAATTATGAACACAATAACAAAAGGTTACTTTCAGGCATCATTATCATATTTTTGTCTGTTCAAATGCTAGAAAGAAGAAAAATGCAATGCATTAGATTCAATTCAAACTTATGCCAAGTTTATTGAATATCCCAGTTAGAGGTTTTTAACTTGTCAGCTAGACTTGCAAAGAGAACTTGCTATTAACCATTTCAAGAAATCAATAGTATAGCACCTTCATGGCACATGGTCAAATAGACAATTCAATTCACCTTCATGCTATATGACATTATCCCAATTTACCAGCAAAATGCATTAACCACATTAAAATGAAACTAGAGTTACAGGAACAAAGGTAAAATACATGTGTGCTCAGCTCAGAAGCATCAATATCAAGATTAAAGGGCAAAAGTGTTGGGTGAGAATGGGCATACCTTGTGGCTGATTGAAGGGCTTCAAAGCTGGAAAGACGTCTGAGATGAGCTGCAAAATATTAAATAGGGTTAGATATGTCCCATGGGAGACCAGCAATATGCATGATAAGCAGGAAAGCTGTCGCTGAAAGAAATTCAATAGAACAAGAAGAATGTTGAAACACTCTTAGTTTATTCATGTTTCAAATCTAAACATCAAACCTTGTTTAAAACCAATAATTGTAGAGAAGCGCATGCTCATATATGGTATTGCGGAAATTTTTAAAATCATTACTTATCAGTATCCTATCAACATAGCCATGTATATCTGACCTCTGTCTTTTCGCTGAGAAGAAACACCCTGAATGGCTTTAAATATATCAGGTGTAAACACATAGACACCACAATTTATCAGGTCACTTACCTGCATCACACAGTGCAAAATAAGTATGAGATAAGAGAGAGAGAAAAATCAAGGGAAGACATATGGAAAATAGTAAGAAATAGTAAGAGAGAAAAATCATTGCTTTTGAGAATGAAGGATCAAAAGTAATAGTTATGTGTTTAGATAATTATTTCTGCAACAACAGAATATCTGAAGAGAAAAGTTGTCCTGTTGAATTCAATATATACTTCTTAATTGACTCTCTCCCTCTCTATAACTAGTTCTCAAAGAAGCAAGAGTTCAATATTCGAACCAAATGGACTACTCTAAATAGTACCAATATCTCGATGTTGCATTAAATATCAAATGGATCTTTAAACTGGTACATACAAAAGTTTCAGGTTTCTCCGTGTAATGCAACAATTCATTGGTGTTCAGATCAGCCACCAATTCACCAAACTGGTTGGCTGACTCGGCTGAAACCTGCACAGGAATACAATAATGAAGTCAGAATATGAAGAAACACATAAATTCTACTGCTGCAAGAACAAACCTCAAAATAGATATTCCTACATTGAAACTTTTCACTCAACCAACCTTGATTACTAGAATAGTTCCCATTCCACCATATCTTCTATGAGCCTCTGGAGACAATATAAGCAAAAGAGGAGATAAGACTTCTGTTAAATTAAAAGTAATGACTTTGCAACATTAAACAGTAAATCCAATAAAACTATAAAAATAATTGTTTCACAGGTTAATAATACACAAGATATTTTGAGGAAGAACTAAACAGTAAATCCAAATCAATTTAAGAATTTAAGGGATATTGGATTTTGATAGCATAAACATGATTACCAAGCATTTCTGGTAGTGGAAAACTGCAGCAAACATCACAATTCAACAAGAAGATATGAGACTGCAAAAAAAGAGGTGGCAATCAAGCATTGCCAAGATTTCAATGATAAAAATTGAAAGTCAACCTCTAATATCCAGAAAATGTTACAATTCATGAATAATAATATCATTACAAATGAAGATGCAAAAGGGAAAGAGAGAAAAAAAATACAAAATTCATAGGTTAAGTTGAAAACCGGACTGTCTTCCATGATTAGATCTCTGAAGTTATAAAGCCCACCAGCTGAACCATGCGGCTTGTCCTCCCTCAAATATCTACACGCAAAGATTTGACAATCAGGAAGAACAATACATGGGAAATAAAGCAAATGACAAAGTAAATGATCAAGCTAGTTACCTCACGGGGACTTTTAGCTCATTAGAGATTGATGAAACATACAAAGCAAATTCTCGCTCCTCATAGAAACCAACGAGATAAATTTGTGCTAGATTTGGAATCTGAGACAGAAAATGCAATCTCAAAAACTTGTTTATATACGGAAAATTATACAAAGGAGGGAAATTGGATCCCCAAATAAGATACTGCTAACAACTGAAAAACTAGATTAAATACCCTTTTGCAAGCAGATATTGGGTGATGAACCATAGGTTGTCCGGCTAAAGGAAAAAGAGGCTTGGGGACATTCAATGACAATGGCCGAAACCGAGTCCCTAAATTAAATAAAAAATATATATATATTAAATATATTCCATCGAATTTCTTAAGTGAATCGCACAATTACTAAGTTACATCAAAATTAAAGGAAACTAAAGAAATGGATCAAATAATCAAAATGCAGTAATATGTACAAAAATAATAGCAGCTAAATAACATTTGATTGCAAAATAACACAACATATGAAAATGGAAATGCAGAATTATGAATCTACAATCTACAACATAGCATTACAACAATAAAAATTTCAAGCAAATCTATACCTTTGGTGGGTCCACCGACCATAATCACAGCCACAATCTTCTCCTCCGAACTTCCCATCTCCAATCAAAGCAAACCCAGATCTTCAATCCCAAGCTTCTTAACAAAGATTGCTTCCCAAATGACCCTACTCAACTGAGAATACGTCAATCACACCAATTCAGTCCACTGTTTACGAGCTAAACTGGAGCTAAAAATATCTGTAATTCTTAGCTCCTACCACACTCTGTTTATGAGAGAGAGAGAGAGAAAATGGAATGGAGAATACAATAATAAAAGGACATATATTTATTTAAGATCTATTGTACTGAAGTCTGTTAATTGGTGATACGTGAAACTGTGAAAGGAAATAACAACTGTGTCTGTGCAGTGGCATTTGCAAAGACGAAGACCACTAGCTAGCGATAAGTAGGTGATACAGCAAGAAAGTCTTTTTGTGTTTCCAATTTTCTAATTTTTATAAAGAGATGGGAAGTTTCCATTGCCAATTGCATTCTGGTGGGTAGTGAAGGGACTTTCAGTTTGGAACTTTGGTGGGACCTTCCAGCTCATGGCCCCACTCTCCGCCATGGTGTTAATAACACTTAGTATATTCTTCACTGTTAAGAAGGATCCTTTTATTTATTTCTTTTTCTTTGATTTCTGAATTCTGATGTATTAATAAGAAAGCATTAACATGCGGTTTGTGTGTCATTTGACAGCACGAGCATGTGGAAAGAGTTTTCAGATTTAATTCCACTAAATATGCCTAGCTTTAATTATGATTAAATCTCGAATTAGATTCTAGATACAGGTGCTTTACACTAAAAAAACATTTAATGCTTACATTTAACGCATTTTACAATGAATGGCAACAACAAACCTGAGATAAAATTAGTTATGTATCAAAAAATATGGGAATAGTGGTAAAAAAAAAAAATGCTAAGCACACTCCTTAATTAAAGAACAAAAGAAGGAAATGTAAAATGGTAATGTCATTTTCTAGTTAAAGGTAGATAGCTGGAACTAACAAACTATCATCATACCTTAAATGTTACTTCCACGGTGAACTAACCACCTTCATCCAAGAAAATGAAGATAGTCTGTCAACTACTTAGGGTTAATATATATCACCTTAATATCATATATATATATATATATACCAAAATATCTAATTGTTAAATTTCATAAAAAGCTATTTAAATTAAAAATTAGTACATTCAAAAGGAAAAAAATTATTGGGAGTTGTAGCATAGCAACCGTGAAGATAGCCACACATGGCCAATTGCAGAGGCCTAATTACATTTTATGAGTTGGCGATATGGCCATCCTGAGAGTATAGAGTGTAGATCATCTATGACTATGAACTTGCTTCCTGTGGTAAAAAGAAAGATGAAGGGATTTTCAAATTTTGAATAACAGTGGATGTTTTGCTTCGTCTTTCATATCCCATAACTAAGGGTGTTTCTGATCAGTTAAGCAAATTATCTTCATAAATTTAGAATCAAATCGGTTAATTTTAGAAAACTTAAACTATTTTTTAATATATAAAATCAAAATCAAAACAAAATTATTAAACTAATTAAACTTATATTTTTCTTTCCCGTTCTGTTTTAATCAGCCTAAACACAAACTACAGATCCAGCATTCATTTTGGAACAATAGTTGACCACTTAAATAATGGCTGACTTGAAGCTAAAGACTAGCCATTCTTCATTTTGAAAAAGAAGAAAAAAGAATGGTAATCCAAATGATAGAATTTAATTAGTCAAATTGGAATGAATATCTTCAGATCCAAAGCTGAAAAATGAACCACTTCTCCTGATTCGTCCATGCGATTGATGGGGCCATGCTGTTTAAAGAATTCAAGTGAGCAAGAATATGCTGCTTTAACATTCTATCACCTCGTAAACAAAATACTAATACAATTTAAACTATTGTTGAGAAAAGAAATGTAAGAAGTTTATATTAAAAGTAAACTTCCAAATCGCTTGTCCATTATTTAAAATGATTTTTTTTTTTTTTTTTTTTTTACAGATCAAAGCTGAAAAATGAACCACTTCTCCTGATTCGTGCCATGCGAATTGATGGGGCCAATGCTGTTTAAAGAATTCAAGTGAGTCAAGAATTATTGCTGGCTTTAACATCTATCCTCATCGATAAAACAAAATACTAATAACATATTTAATTACTATTGTTAGCCAAAAGACATAGTAATGAAGTTTTATTATTTGGGCCGGGGAATTCGGAACATTTATTTGCCAATGTTTAAATTAATTTTGGCCGAATAGAGTTAAGCCATGCAATATCAAGTAAAAACATATTTTTCTCATCCTTTCGGCCGTTAAGAATTAAAAAAAAAAAAAAAAAAAAAAAAATTCATAACCTTACTTACATCGCTTGTCCATTATTTTAAATTATTTTTTTTTTTTTTTTTTAATTCTTAAGCTCGAAATGGATGAGAAATATGTTTTTTTACTTGTAATTTGCAGCTTAAACTCTATTCTGGCAAAGATTTATATTAAAAACATTGCAATAAATGTCTAAATCCGCAAATTAACATAACATTACACTAAATATCGTTTTCGTAATCTGTGCTAATATAACGGCTAGCCATGAAACATTGTGCTTTAACCCAAATAACATTTGGTCTCACGTCTTTCGAATATGCTATTTCTAGTTTTCATTCATTAGGAGTGCCGATATGACAATAGCATCCACATATTACCGTACGTACGAGAGTTTTATATCCAATTTCAATCTGCAGAATGGTCCGTATCCCCGGGTGACTAGCGAATGGAAGAAAGGCAAATGGGCCAGTAATGGAGAAAACGTAGGGTCCTATTTTTAGATTTGGCTCCCACATACTGAAACGCTGACAAGATAACCAAGTCATTGTCAAGCATGTGACTTGCATTTTCCTGCTTGGAATCTCTAATTAAACGTCTGAATTTCGTTATTTTGTGCGCACAAGAATTCATCGTCCACCAAACACAGTAGTGTTTTTTCATGCCAAACTTTCAACTGCTTATTTAAGATCTAACAATATCACAACGATACAAGATCATAAGAGAGTCTACAAAGGGTTTATAGATTTTGCAATATTTTTGTTCCGATAAAGCTTTGATTTCACTACATTGATCTTTCTTCCTTGTATTACCTCTTATCCGCATTAATTTCATTTGTTCTCAACGAAGATCTCTTACAGCTTTTGAAGGAGACTGATACCGAACCCAAAGGTTCATTGGAGATATATTGAGTCACCTGCTTCAGCACTTCAGGTAACTACGAGTCCCCTGTAAATATTATATTACAAAAAATGGGAGTAAGCATTAGGCTAATTGCTCAGTGGCAAATTAAAATAAGACTTCTAATTGCCATTGTTAATAAGTATAAGACTAGAACCAGTCTTCACGTATTTATTTTTAGGCTTGTATTCTATTACTCATCTCAGAAGCTGCAAATTCAAAACAGTCTCATTAACTGCCTGATCCTCCTCATTGTATGACATTTCTACTACATATGTTTGAATTATTTGAGAAGAAATAACATTTGCATATCTGAATTTGGGTGATTAAGACACTACAATTCTCCGCCTAATTGTCACGCCCAGAACCACTACGCTTGAGACCTTCCCCATGGAGCCTGAACAGAAGCCTGGCGGTTGAGCCAATTGAATCCAAACAATACCTCTCGCAAAGACTAATAAAGGAGAGGAAAAAAAAAACATCACTCCTTCAGTTAAAATAATCTCGATGCTTTGTGGATTATTCTCATGATAATGTCTCACGCTTGCTTACTCCGATCAACACTTCTAGATCATTTTGATATCACTGCCAGGCACCTAAACCGTTAACTGCGAACATCCGTACAGAACCATCAAAATACAGATCCTCTACAACCGAGTCGAGATCAAGGGACTATCCAGACTAATTATTCAGCGTATATATAGTTTATTTAGATGCAAAGAAGCAACTCACTGAGTGTCATTTGCCCAATTCAATGGCTTCATCTTCAGAACTAAATGTTTTAAACACACAGGACGGTCCCAAAGACTTCCTCTTCTCCAAATTTGCATGGAGGTATTTAACATCACTTAGTGATGGTTGGTTCAATATGAAGAATCCTTATTCCAATGCTGCATTCATTTGCAAATTACTTCAATGACCTCAAGATCAAAGAGAGAAGAGCTCCAGTAATGCGAAAGATGAAGTATGACATACCTTTGGACGAGGCCCCACCACCATAGACAAAATATTGGTTCACTTCACTCTTAGCAGTTGAATAGAATTGCTCATACTTTGTCATACTGCAGCAGTTAAGTAACTAACAAGTTAAAGTCTTTCGAATTC